AAGTAAAATCGTTATTTAATATAATTTGATGTTATGTTCTATTATAAAGTAAGATCGTTCACTCCAAATGTGTTTTATTGTAAAAGAAAAGACGAAAATAATAAATTTATTCAAAATTTGAAAGACTATTTTATAAATTAAAAAGTACAACTCCAAAATGGAGTGAAAAATCAGATTAAAAATGGATTTACACAATTTCGGAGTTGAATATGAAAATGGGTTGGAGATGATTTGGAGTGGAGAGTGGGGTTGGAGATGCCTTTACTAATTAAAATTATTGTTTGTTTACTAAAACTTTTGTATATAATTATTATTTTGAGGATACATAAGATTGTTCTTGAACTAGGATATCAAATTATCTTTATAGAAAGACAGGATAGAGTTCAAAGTTGTGTACAATTTTGCTAGTGAAATTTGGTTTATACAATTTCGAAACACCTTTTCTTTTACCAGTTTAAATTGTATAACCATTTTTGTCACTTCAAATTGTTTTACCACACAAATTCTTCTTTTTTTTTTTTTGKTYAACAATTTATATAAAAACTTAAATGGTTCAGATATCCAAACCAGAGTACATAAATTTTTTTTTTTGAAACTTAACTGGAATACGTTAATGAAGGATTGTAAAAGTAATACACGTTTTTGAAATTTTTATAAAGTAAATTATAATAAAGTTTGAATCATAATAGATGAAAAAATGATGAATATGTACATAAAGTTTACATATTCAACTCTCTTATGACCACTCCTCATCTCTCCATCCCATTTTCATTACGACGCTAGTCAAACCCGACTGTTGACTAGTACTTTAGTACGGTCTCATTGTCTTAATCCACAACCTTTAGGACTTATCCAATTCTTATCCATGTTTTCTGCACATACAATCTTTCTCGTTATCCTTCCAGTAAGATGTGTTGTATTCCCATTACAACTATTACATTTGCAGACTTCCTTGTCCAACAACATATTGAGGCATGATGATGACATTCATAGCTTTTGTGATTTTCATTGGAAACGAAAAATTCCTTAACTCTTTGGTTTTGAACCACCACTCTTTTACATTCCTTGTCTTTGAACATGACTCTGAGTCTTGACCACATATCTCGTTAATGCTTCGTGAACGCCACCGGGGTCCTCGTTCCATTTGGGTCTCACGCCTTCTTGCGTCTTACAGTAAATACTTTATTCCGAGGAGAAAATCCACAAGAACACCCATCTTTAACCTTAGGCGGAGTAATAAGTATACACAGTGTCCTTTACCACTCTTACTAACTAGCTCAGAGTGATAAACATCCAAACCTTCTTGAGCAACA